TGTGTAGATCTGATTTTGATATGCCTGCTGGATTGCCCAGATTGAACTTACGGCTTTGTTGTTGACCATAAACAAGTAACTGAAACCCCATCACTTGGGGGCTATCAACAGCAGCACCAACTAGAATGGTTAGCACATGCAACTTGGAGAAGATAATGACAATCAAGATGCTGACATTCGACACTAACACAAACAAAAAACAATGAAGGAAGCCCCGATCAATACTGGAAAGAGAGATACGAGCAGACTTGAGAAACTGTCTTTTTTTTTCTTTTCCTGAAAAATTGTTTGTTGGGAGAAAGAGTTCATAAATTTCAACAGACGGCAGCACGAGCCGCTTGGACAATGAATGTTTCCTTATAAGGAAACGTCTAATAAGACGATTGCCCAGAAAATAGCGACTTGTAGTAGTAATTGCGTTTATTTATACTGCCTCTTTTTCTTTTATCTTCATATTATTATATTATTATTATTATTATTATTATTATTATTATTATTTTCTTTGATTTCTGGCGTTTACACATTTCTTTCCGGGTCCCGCCCAGGGACCTAAGGTTAGAAATGGCGTCATGACACTTTCAACTGACAAAAAAAAAAAAAAAAAAAAAAAGATACACACTTCGTAAGGTGTGGGCTGTACTTGTCAGAAAATTATTATTATTATTATTATTATTATTATTATTATTATTATTATTCACCAATGCCTTTTCCTTTCTTTTATCCTCATCTTCTTCCTTTTCTTCTTCATCCTATTCACCATCATCTTCTTCCCATTATTATTATTATTAATAATAATAATATACAAAAAATTGTTCTCACGAGTACAGCCCACACCTTACGAAGGGCTTTTTATCTATTTAATATATATATATATATATATATATATATATATATATATATATATATATATATATATATATATATATTTTTTCTGTCTGTCAGTGAAAATGTCATGATTTCTGCCATTTCTAACCTTTTTGCTAAGTTCTCTGGGCCCACACCTACGGGGCCCGGAAAAATGAAATGAGGGCCCGGAAAGAAATGGAACTCCAGAAATTAAAATAATAATAATAATAATAATAATAATAATAATAATAATAATTCATGTCTGTCTGTTGATTACAGGTGGAGATGGAGGGGTATCAAGTTATCCTCTAATCTATCTTTAATCCGTGTTCCAGTGTTCTCGAAGACTCAGACATCCCCAAGGTCTGGACAGTTTCAAATTTTCCTTTGAATTTTTAATTCATTCAGTCACGATTCTGAATGTTTCTGGCATGATGCCAAGTGTGTACCAACAATTCCGACACGAGACTAACCTTTTATTATGATTCTCTTCACCCAGTGAGTGCTCACACCAGTAGGAAATGATGTCAGACACGGGGGATTATCGCTCGTGTTGGATAGATTTTCATTCAAAGGCCCCGTATTAAAGTACGCCTTGTGATCTGCTTTTGCTGCAGTAAGATGAATAATTCCATCAATAATTCGAGTTCAAGCCCTCGAATTGATTGGAAAAGGTTCCGATGGACTTACAAAAGGGATCCCTGGTAGTCCATGCATTAAAGAAATACATTTTTTCCATAAAGTAAATACTTTATGATATATATATATATATATATATATATATATATTGAACAATAAAAAATATTAAAAAATTAAAATCTTTAGACACACTGGGTTGTAGATTAATATTCTTTCGTTTTTTTTTATTATTATTTCATTCAGATTCCTCAACTAGTTTCGGCCCCAAAATGGCCATCATCAGGAAAAGAAATATTTCTGCTTGCTGGTAGCAGTAAACTATATATATATATATATATATATATATATATATATATATATATATATATATAGATATATATATATATGTATGTATGTATGTAAAAATTACAAAAATAATCAGTGGAAAATGTCATGAAGCCATTTCTGACCTTAGGTCTCTGGTTTGGACCCGGAGGTAAATGCCTATACAACAGAAATCAAAGGAAATAATAATAATAATAATAATAATAATAATAATAATAATAATAATAATATGAAGAAGAATAATAAGAAAAAGAAAGGAAGAAGAAATAAAGAAAAATAAGAATGATTTGTTTTTTTTTGTTTTTTTACAGCTTATCAACCCCTTGCAGTTTATTTAAAGCCGGAAAATATTTTTTAGAATTTGTTTTGAGGATAATAACGATTTACTGATATAATTCCTATGAATTAACCCATAGAAGATTCTATCTGTGAAGAATGTCTAACTATCTAACCAGGAACACACCTTCACTATCTGCGTTCAATGTATTTCTATAGTAAAAGTATTAGATTTTACAGCATTTATTTTTTAAGAGTGGTACCCATGAGAAAATCACGGCTTTGCTGTTTAAATGTTCTGATAAACTATAATTTTAGAAGAATGTATGTATAATATATAAAATGTTTGACAATGCTTGATATAATGAAATAAATACATAGATAAATAAAATAAAAGTCAGCAGTTGACAACAACGTCCGTGTGAAGACGTACCCTCTTGTGGGTAAATAAGGATCGCTGACAGTTGATGACGTCACACGCATAGCAGGGGATTCCGCACAGCTGATAGTTCTCGATCTAACAATACTTGCTAAAATTAGTTTCCGAGGCTGGCGCGCGTGCGCACACACACACATACACACACACACACACACACACATACACGCAAACACAAACATACACACATGCACACACACACACACACACACACACACACACAAAAATTAACAATATTTATAATAATGATAAGGACTTTGATTGTTGTGATGGCGGTAATACCAAAAATAAAGGGCGTGGTAACAGCGGCGGACGGGACGGGACGAGACGAGGCGGCGGTGGTGGTAATATCAACAGAACTCGCCGCCAGTGCTACTGCGTCTGTTGACACGATGGCGTTAGAGCGATGCTGCTACTGCTGCTGCTGCTGCTGGTACGGAGATGGGGGTGGGGATGTGGATGGGTGGGGTTGAAAGGTGGTTACTGAAAACGAGAGAGAGAGAGAGAGAGAGAGAGGAAAACAGAAGAGGTGAGAGGAATATGAGGAACAGGAGGAGGAGGAAGAGTGACTAGAGGAGGAGTACTAGAAGACAGGTTGCAGTGGAAGGAGGAGGAGGAGGAGGAGGTGATGCGAAAGACTTCGGAGTTGTGTTTGATTCCCGTTCGTTCCGACCAGTGGAGAAGGAACCCTGTGTCGCCGTTTAGAGCACTCAGCCCAACATCGGCGAGTTAGAAGGATAGACATAC